TGCAGTCGACTCATTCTCCTTTTCTTTTCCACAAAAACCCTAGCCCTCGCCATTGTTGCGCCGTCCCAAAATCCATAAGATTAACGTTAAAAAATACTCCGTCGCCATCCCAGATAGACGGCGATGCAGGTGGAACAAACGGAAGAGTCGGTGAAGCAAAGAATCCTCTTGACAATTCATGCGGAGGCGGCGAAGCAAGTGACGTCAGGGTCACGGAGGCGGATACTGCTAACGATGACAGAGAGGTCTATTGCGACCCGACAAGGAGAGGATTGAGCGACCCTGCAGCTAACGTCCATTGAAGTACTCAGCGACGCAATCGAACGACAGGTGGGTCCTGCTCTTTAGCTGGTTGCTAGAGCCCGACTACATCAACGACGAGTAAAAATCGAGGTCGACCGAAGGAGTTCGTGAGGTTTTTGCAGAGGAAAATCTTATAATTGTCGGAAGCCCGATTCTCTTCAACAGAATCTTAAACCTCTTTACCATTTTTTTTTACAGCGTTGTTCAAGGTTAGGCTTCAGGGAAAGGGAGGCCGCGATGCAGGAGGACCGAACGGCGGAGTCAGCAGAGAAGGTTGCTCCTCTGTCTCTCGAAAAACACCTTGTGAACCTGAAAAACATCAAGAATATGATATGGAAGAACACGATAACGATGACTCTTTTTTCAAAAATGTTGTCGGATGGTGACGATCCTTTTGCCCATGATATACTCCTCGGAAGTAAGGATGAAGATGATAAAGGTACTTCCTTTTCCTTTTCCAGTGCTTTTTTTAATGTTAATTAGCTTATGAGGATCATTCTCTGCACATGTTCCAAATCCTCGATGGTCAAACACGGATTTAGTCATGTTGAATTATCAAATCCTCTCTTATTTTATCTAATTGAATCTATGGTGATTATAAGATTGTAAGTGTCCTAGGGTTCTTTGTGTGTGAGCCGCATCAGGTTGTGAGGGGATTTTAGGGGGTTTCGGGTACGGGCTGAATTAAGGCCGAGAGTTTTGCATCGAGAGGTGGTGTTTCCCTGGGTTTATAGTGTTGGAGTCATTGAGGTCGAGGTTCCAATTGATCGGTTCATTTTTCGGCTCTTCTGTGACTCATTTTGAGGGTTTAACATAAAGGGGACTGAGCCTGCTCCATTTCAACCCATCATCATGGCAACTTTGTACCATTCGGGCTCCTCGTTCGAGAAACATAAAAGGGTGTATTCGTTCCTCTTTTATGTGTTATTCAATTTTCCTTTTCTGTTCAATTATATTGTTTGGTTGCTGAAATTAGTATATTTATTGGTAATTTTCATTTTCCTCTTGAAGCGAACGAATCGGGACGAGTTCGGACACAAAAGGGTGTTGTCCGGAAAGGAAAAGTTACTGTCTGGTGCCCAACAAGAGCTGCCGGACCTGTTGAGTGCTGCCGCGATGAACCAGCGGCTATTCGAGACGTATCAGCTATTATTCGAGACTGTTCGGGCCAGCCCGGGCCGGGGAGTCGAGCCAGACGACCACTCAACAAGTCTGACGTGAATTGAAACCTCTGATACAGTGAGACTTGGTTTGGAGGCATGAAACTCAAAATCTTGATTAATTTGGGAGCTGTTCAGGTCCTCCAGAAGAGGAAATGAAATTGCTGAAGCCACGAAAACAGGTCAACAAGTTGACAATCCTCCCTTTTTATTTCTTTGATTGGAGCTCAAATGCACTGCCAACAGAAAGAAAACAGTTATATCATCATAAATATCTACATATGAACAAAGGAAAAAGAAAAACAAACTGTTGTTATATACCTGAATCACTATATTTAATGTCTTAAACCACAAAGATGTTAAAAACAAAATCTACTCTCTCTCTCTCTCTCTACTATTTCTTCATCAAATTTTTGTTTGATCTATTGTGTTTCAGTCGCATCCATTAGATGTTGTTTTAGTTTGATCCTCTTTTGATTTGTGTTTCATTTTGTTATTGTAAAGGCGCTAGGAAGTCGTCCCGAGCATTGGCGGGATCAAGAAGCCCCGTCGTTGCCGCCCTGGAACCGTCGGTCTTCGGTAAACCCTAATAGCCAAATTTCTCTCTGTATTCACTTTCTTTCCTCTTCAATTTCCAATGTACATGGTTTTTTATTATTATTTTTTTTCTATTTGTTTTTTTTTCTCAAATACTAAGAGTGATATGGGTTTGGTTGGAGTTGTGAGTGATTTAGTCGTGGAATTTTTGGTATTTAGTGAAATTTGGTTTATACTTTTGCTCTCGAGCTACAAATAGTTGAACTATAACCTCACAGGTGCTTTGCTTTTAGCCAATTTTGTCGAGCCTCATGAGCAATCTTCTCATCCCAACACCCCATTAAGCTCACATGCGCGAATGGCTGATTCTCCAATCACGAAATCAGTACCAGCTGATATTAATACAAAACCGGACGAGTGCAATAATGTGAACCAAAGCAATGGGAGAGTGAGTCATTCGTCACCGACGAAGAGTACGAACATTGCAGAAGCTACTGGTAATGAAATTGGGAGCAAGGTTAAATCTTGCAAGAGATGCTTTTATTATTCTTCGCGTTTCAAAGTCGATGCTCGAAACCCTCTCCGTGTTGGCCTGACCCTTTCCCTTCCCAATGGTATCCCTATTTATTCGTTCAATTTTGTTTTGTTGTGTTTCTGTATTTAATACTCAATTAGATATGTCATTCGATGCTTTTTCATTAATTTTCTTTCTTTCTTTTTCATTTCTTTTGCAGGAAATCAGAAACCGTAGTCTAAAGGTTTCTGTTGTTGTTACCTAAGACAACTGATAATGATATTCTGCTATCTCTACTCCAATTTTTATTAAAGAAACTTGTCTTTGAACTAGTTTTGTACTGATTTGGTATTATCTTACTAGTATGTTATGTACTTTTATACAATAAATTTGTGTTTGCTCTTCACACGGATCACAATGATTCACGAATCAAGCATTGAGTGGCTATTATTAACTACAAAATATCTATTTCAAGGATCAACTGCCAACTTACATGAAGTATAAGTGATAAAAAAAGAAATGCTACGTAAAAGTTAATCGAGATATAAATTAACAAGTCTAAGTATTCTTGTGAATAAACCACCCTTCAACTCAACTCATATAAATACGAGTGTTCTTTGTTCCTTTTCTTTCGTTTACTAATGAACTTATTTCCTTTTATTATTTGAACTGATTTTAAATTGGGTTTTTTATGTTAGGTTATTGACGGTCCTTTGGTTTTGATGTAGCAGCCCCGAAGTCTGAGAAATTTCTAATACTAACATTCAATGACTCACGGTTTGGTGTTATAACCAAAACCAGCATTCATAAATTTCTTGTCATTTTTGACCAAGTGAATCCTAAAAATGAGAAAAAAAATATTTATTTACTTGTATGTTTTCTTTTTGTTTTTCTTTTTTCCTCTATGTTATACTATTTGTGTTATGCTATGCTATTTGTTTTATGTTGTATCGTCTCATTAGTGAATTATTTACACAGGAGGACCGTGCGAACATACTGAAGGCCCGGGCTACATGTAAAGCGGTTCTTACTAACGCAATTCATGTTTCTTAATGATGATTTAGGGGTTGTTTTGACTTTTCAGGTTTACAAATTCAAGTTGCCGAATTGGAGAAGTAACATCTGCAAACTAGTGCAAACAGAAAACTGTAGTGTTTTTGCCTACTCTATTTGCAATATGTCATGTTTCTATCTTATTGATGGTTCGAGTTTTTATGCCAAGTGCTTGACTACTTTACTTACATCATTCTTTATGTTTACTGATATGGGTTGTTTACACATTCCATCTTCACAATGATATAATTTAGATGAATGACTTCAGTCGTGTGGTAACATTCTAGTTGTTTTATGCATGCATGTGCATCTATGGTACCCATGGCCAGAACTGAACACTATTTGTTGTTGTTTTTCCTCTTTTCATAGTTGTTGTGTCTCTGTACTTGCAACCTGAACAGTGGTAATACATGTCCGTTTTGGTTAGATGCTAATTTTTTTTATATGATTCGATGGGGATATGTAAACAAGAACAATATCTCACTGCTAATCATTTTCTTTTTGTTCAAATATGAACCTACGCGCGCGATGAGGCTTCAGTCCGGCTTCAGTCATTTATGGAGAAGAAGGTAAATTCCAACATGTCATTATGTTGATTTGACAAGAAAATATTAATTTGAGCACCACACGAGCTTAGTTGATATCATTTGTTAATTGGTACTTGCTCTTTAGAGTTTAATTTGCTATTATCATAATCCGATTAAAAAACAATAATTCCAGAAGTTAATCCAATATAAGTAAATTTGTTTGTATCACATTGATATTTTCTTCAGACATCAAGTTCTTTGTTTGTGCCTAAATGTTAAAGAACAAATAAAAAAGACCAAAAAAACAATAGCAAATGGAGCTTCTGAAGTGAGTGGTGAGAAGTTGCATATGTTCATGTCAGAGACCGCCGTCGTGGGCATCCTTTAACTTATTCCTTGATCTTTAAAATTTTCATTGAATTTTGCAGGCTAGGAGAGAGAAGATCAATGCGAGGATAAAACTGTTGCCTGATCTCGAGATGCAAGGTGTTGAATGCTAGAGAGGATTAATGTTGTTAGTCTGATTTTCTTTGTGGAAGTTAATAATGAATGGATTGTTGGATTAGTATGTTGGGTTTTCGCATTTTTTCGTTGTGAGAGCTTGATTTTCAGTTGGTTTTTTTAGGAGTGTTTTGATTTTATTCATGTTCCTTTTTATTTTTATTTTCTTTCCCTTTAGGATGTTAATTTGCAGTCGGAGAGTCTCGAGAAGGAGATTTCCACGTCCACCGGTCGCGTTTTCAGGTGAGCAATTGAATAAAATGGAATTTGTCAGAGTAATTTCGCGTTCGATTTGTTAGATTTTTAATTTAATTTCACAATTAAAGCAGTTCAAGTTTCTGTATTCATACTATCTCGCGTTTTAGAATTGGACAATTTGTTTGTAATTTTTCCTGATTTTCAGCTAAAAAATAAAAAAATAAAAATAATATTGTTTCTCCATGAACAGCTACATTGTTTCCTCTTTGTCTTCTTCTTTTCCAGTAGAGCGGCGAGTCCGACGAGCATGTTTTACGGCGACTCAGAGCAAGTGTCACTCCAATCAATCTCCACGCCCAAAAGCAAGAATCCTTTGCCTCCATCAATCTCTCGCCGGAACATAGACACGTACTCGCCGCCGCCGATGGAGCTCGAGATGGTCTTTGCGGCGGTAGAAAAGCACAACCAGAAACGGTTCCTCGAAAAGTAAGCATCATGTCAAATTTCAGAAGCTCCACATATACAATACATACAAAATATATTTGCATATGTTCTCACAATGCACACAGTAAGGCTCTGCACGCGAAAAAATGCAGGCCCGACTCATTTTATCGTAGCCCAATTGATTATTCGCATAATTGAAAAGTGCAAAGGAGTAATGATTTTGTTGAATGTGGGTATTGTTTTATTTTCAGGTACAACAATGATATAGTAAGGGACGTTCAATTGGAGGGAAAATATCAGTGGGTT